CTTCCGAAACGGCCAGGCTGCGAGCGCGGAGGTACACACGGGCGCTGAAAAGCGAAGGGTCATTCCGCCCTCGGCCCCGGGTTTGTTTTTCAACAATACACGGCAAAAAAAAAAACCCACACGCTTCCAGCTATCTCGCCTGCCCCTGCACCTGAGCAGAAAGATCCATCCGCGAGGAAGGAAGGAGGCGCCTAAGGCGCCGGGGTAGAGACGTTGAGTGGGGCGCTCAGAAGACAAGAAGGCGTCCGCGCGGGCCGGGCCCGGCCGGGGTCAGCGGCCGCAGCTCCCGGCTGGGTCTGCGCAGGAAGGCCCGAGGTCCGGGCCGCACTCACCGAAGTCCAGGAACTGCTTCATGGAGAGCGGGGACGGTGAAAAGCGCGCGTAGAAGTCCACTTGGCCCGGAACGCCGCGTTCGGGCGCCGGGCCGGAGCCCGAGTCCAAGGTGAGGCTGCGGCTGACGCTGGGGCGGGCGGCGCGCAGCCTGGGGCCCGGACCGGCCGAGGCGGCTCCGCGCAGCAGCCGCGCCAGCCTCATGCTGAGCCCCGCCGGAGGAGCCGGAGCCCCGGGCGCCAGGTCGCCGCTCCGCAGCTCGTCCGGGTGGTACGTGAGGGACGTGGCGGCCTCGGGGGCGGGGAGCCGCTGTCACCGCCGCGGCCACCGCCCCCTTCGCCGGAGCCCGGCCCCTCCCGCGCCGCTGGGCGGGGCCCTGTGGGGGAGGAGGCGGGGAGCGCTCGCCGGGCCGACCCCGGGTCAGAGTCCGTCCCCACGCGCCGCGGGGCGGGGCCCGGAGAGCGGCAGGGAGAGCGCGTGCGCCTGGAGGCCCCGGCGCTGTGTAGTGCGCCCTCCCACGCCCTTTGGGAACAAAACCCACCTTCCTGCTTCCCCCGCCCTTCCAGCCTCAGCCGAAAGGCTGAAGGGCGGGGCCTGGCTCAAGGGCTCCGCTTCCAGGCGCCACGGTGTCCTGCTGTGAGCGTCTTCCAGAAACCCCCCTCTGTGATGCAAGCCCAATATTTTACAGGGAAGGAAACTGAGACCCAAAGAGTTTCAGGAGCAGACCGTTGCCAAACAGTGGGACAGAAGTACGAATGGTGATCACTGCAGAGTGTGGCCCTAAATAATAGCACAACGACCGCCGTCCCAGGAGAAGAGAATTGGCAGCCCCACTTGAAGCATTATCTACAGGCATTCTCGGCCTGGGCAGCAGTGTATTAAAAAAGGCTCCCTCCACTCCGATTGCCCTTCTCTCTGTCCTCTTAGCGTCACAGTTTGGTTGCCCCATCCTTTCCAGGTTTCTAAATATAAGACTAAATGTAATATAAGACTAGAGAATTTCTAATTTTGATTCAATCCCTTAGAGTTGCAAAGGCTCTCACAGTGAAAATTACCACTGTCCCTTCTCTCCACTGCTACTTCCCCATATTATCGAACCACAGTGCTTTATAATGTCCTAGATGCAACAAAAATACTTTTCCATGGGTGTGTAGTTTATCAATTTTATTGTATAATTATACAATAAAAATTTAATATGTATAGATATACATATATACGTATATATGTATATATGTATACGTATATATGTGTATATATATCCAGCAGTTACTGGTATAGAATAATTCATTTCTCCATATGGTCAGTTCTTGAGTTGTATAAAAGTATATGTATAAAGAATGAGATGAGGACTTCCCTGGTGGCACAGTGGTTAAGAATCCACCTGCCAATGTCACGGGTTTGATCCCTGGTCCGGGAAGATCCCACATGCCGCGGAGCAACTAAGCCCGTGCGCCACAACTAGAGTCTGTGCTTTAGAGCCCACGAGCCACAACTACCGAAGCCAGTGCACCTAGAGCCCATGCTCTGCATCAAGAGAAGCCACCGCAATGAGAAGCCCATGCACCACAACGAAGAACAGCCCCCACTCTCCACAACTAGAGAAAGCCCGTACGCAGTAACAAAGACCCAACACAGCCATAAATAAATAAATAAATTTATTTTAAAAAAAAGAATGAGATGAGATGAGATATAAAATAGATAACTAGTAAGAACCTGCTGTATAAAAAAATAAATAAAATAAAATTCAAATTTAAAAAAAGGTCTCTTTTTAAGGTGTATTGGTGTTACCAAACCGAGTTCGTTTGCCCAACGTGCAGCAAGACAAACTCTTGAGATGCCTAAGTTTGCAGCAGGGGAAAGGTTTATTCACGAAGAGGAAGAATAAATTTTAAATCCACCTACCCTAAGGCAAGGGGCTTGGGATATTTATGGGATAAAGAAGTAGGGTGGGCTTCCCTGGTGGTGCAGTGGTTGAGAGTCCGCCTGCTGATGCAGGGGACACGGGTTCGTGCCCCTGTCTGGGAGGATCCCTATGCCGCGGAGCAGCTGGGCCCGTGAGCCATGGCCGCTGGGCCTGTGCGTCCGGAGCCTGTGCACCGCAAGGGGAGAGGCCACAGCGGTGAGAGGCCCGCGTACCGCAAAAAAAAAAAAAGTAGGGTGGTCTGAGGCCTAGGGAAAGGTGAATGGAGTAACCCGTGTTCTGCACATGCGCAACTGAGCTACGTGCTTTTTCATGGGATGCTTGTTCCGAAAATGGAGGGGTTAGTATGATCTGAGGGTGGAGTGTTTTGGCCTTCTGATGTCAAAAGGTCATCTATCCAACACTGCAGAAGGCCCAGTTGAATAGTTGGTGGTCTCAACCAATATGAACTGGGCAAGACTAGCTCCATGTTCCTGAAAAACAACTTTTGAAACCGTTACTATAGTGATCCATACGTCAGAGGTGTTATCTATAGGGGGCGGTTAAAGGAGTCTTGTGATACATTGTCTAAGCTATGTGATGCTTGAAGGGTGTGCAATTTGTAGGAACAGTTAAGGCAGGTTTGATCAGTGAAGGCAGGTTACATATGATTGATTAAGCAAGTTATAGTTTAAGGGATCTGTTGACTGCCCTTGCTTTCATTATCCCACAGGTTTAGCTTGAGGGAGAACATTGACCACCTGGAAACAAGTGTAGGCGGTTGAGAGGATGGGGTGGAAGCAGCACTCAAACATATTTTCCAAAAGTGGTGCCTCTAATAATTCTTTCAGGTATCTGTTAAAATGGTTGTTGTTATGATTTTGGTGACAATATCTTAGAGGAAGCAGTATGAACATGATATATGTAGAGAAACTAATCAGAGGGTGGTATCTCTTTTGTATGTTTGCTGCCCCATCAACCATACTCTGTACCCTCCAAATGTGGTCTTCCTTCATCCATTCTATGAATATTTGTTGAATGCCTAGGTACCAGGTCATGTTCTAGGTGGCTGGGAATAAAGCCATGTGCAATTCAGATAGGATCCCTTTCACATATGTCTGCTTTTACAAAGCATATTATGCAAAGTCCAACATGGTAGAAGAATTTTACACATTGTCTTCAAATATTAGCCTGCTCCATAAAAGAAAGATTAGGTTTGTTCTGAGTGGCCCAGGCAGCAGATGGAAGACTTGTGGGTGGAAACTGTAGGGAGACAGATCTGACTCACACATGGAAAAACTTTGGTTACAGCCCTTTGACTGTGAAATGAGCAACCTTAGAGGAGGAGGGGGTTCTTGTCAATGACTGTTAGAGTCTGGAGGACAGCTTTCTAAGGACACTGTGGGGAGGATGATCAGGAAGCAATGTGGTGCTATGAAAAGAGACTGGATTCTGGTGTCAAATCCTGGCTCTTTTGTGAACTGGCTATGTGGCCTTGGGTGAGTTACTTAACCTCTCTGAGCCTCAGCCTCCTTACCTAAAAAGGGGGTATAATATCTGTCTCACTGGGGGGTGACTGTAACATAGATAGTTTAGCCATCTGTGTTAGCACAATGCCCAGGATATACTAAACACTCAAATGCCCTCTATTTTTTTTTTATCATTACTGGTGGTTTTTTAACGTTATTTCCTTATTACGGTTAGATCAGAACCACTCACATACATGTTTTGCATGAAGCCAACTTTACCAAAGATTTGGTAGAAAACAATTTACAATGGAATATTAGCCATCCTTAAAATAGTCCCTCAACTACTCTGTGATTCTGCTGCAGCCTCCAGCCGTTTTGCCTTCTTCTTTCTCCCAGATCACTCCTTGAGCTCTAAATTCTTCTCACACTATCATGCACAGTTTTATTCAGCTTCCTCAGCCCTGATTTGCAACTGTGTTTTCCACCCGAGCATGTCGAGGTGCTCAGCTGAACATTAACTTGTGTGAAAGCACAAAGGCCGGGCAGAAAGCTTGAGACTTATCATATCAAGGTTCTTTCACCCAGAAACCAATCCAACTTTCTTTTCTCCAAAGTATATTCACCAAGCTTCCACCCAATATACAGAGAATGAGTATATAAAAATAGATTTAAAATTACATCAACTTTTCACTTCTTGGTCAGAGGCTTAGGGTCCAGAAACTGGAGAGAACATTAGATTTTTTTCAGGTATCTGTTAACATGACGGTTGTTAAGACTATAGTAAAAATATTTTAGAGGGAGCAATATAAGCATAAGACTGTAAGATACGGGATCAAAGGTAGAAAGTGATCAAAGGGTGGTATCTCTTTTACGAACTTTTACCAAAGGGCCATATTATTTAACTATGTACATATAAAGTATAATTGTAATGTAAGGCTCTATAAAAACCTTTATAGCCGACTTGGGGGGGATTCTCTAAATTCACTGAGATTTTATGATTCTTGTTGGACTGATTTGACTGAAAATCATGGAAACAAGCTGGACTATGTTCACCCTGTCTCCTTTACCCTCTGGCTTCATGGGGCTCAGAGGACAAGAGGAAAGTTATGACTATTTATCCTCCTGCCCCTTCCTGCTGGGCCATTATTTGTGTCCCTCTTAAGTGTGGCCACAGCCCCCTCCTCATGCCCAGTGAGCCCTAGAGGTGGTACCAGTTTCCTTCTCCTGTTAATTGGGGGTGCTTCACGATCCCTGTCTCTTTACTCTGCCCACACCTCTGTAAAGAGTCCCTTCACACACTCTTCTGTTTCCCCTTTGGGTATGCTACCATTTCCTGTCCCAGAGCCCTGATGCTTTACAAAGGTAACTTTCAAACAAAAGATAAAAAGCATGACTTTCATGCAACTACAAAATGAACACATCATCACATTGTGTACTTTTAACATCTTATGATTTTATCAATTACACTTCAATAAAGCTGAAAAAATAAAATGAACACACCAAAATTTTAATTAACACATTCATCAAATGAGGGAATCAGAAAAGGTATTACAACCAGTTCAGAGAAGCCAAAAAATAGGATTACAGCAACGAATTTGTAAAGGGCTGTAAAACTGGCTTTTCCCCTTAGGAGTCCGGAACCCTCCACCTCCACCTCCACCAGACAGAACGTATTTGCATGGATATAGGCAAGAATTATTTGCATTATCAGTTACCTATAATTTACACAGTTATAAATAGCTCAAAGACAGTGAGTCAGAATCAGACACCCTAAGAAGTTGTGCTCTGAATAACGCATGGTATTTCACTGAGACATGATTTTCCCCTACCTACATTTGCCTTCTTTCTTTAAGGAGGACCGTCATTCAAGTGATTACCTGTGCAGTGATGTGGAGGCAATCCTGTTCACCAGGACTTGTTTTAGAGAAATCCCCGTATTTATCTGGCGTAGGTATTTGATATGCTGCTGGAGTTGAGAGGGAGATCCCCAGGGAACGAGTAACAGAAACAGCCCTGCAGGA